CGAGGGGATCGATGTCAGCGAGGGCAATCGGAAGGAGCACTGGCTTCTCCACCAATAAACGATTACATCATCCGGAATCCGCGCGAAAGTGATCTTGGAATATTCAAACATCCATGGTCCAGCATGGTTCGTTACACAACTACAGCCGCAATCCACGGTTGAACAGCCGGAGGCACTTTGATTGGCTGAGACGGCAGCCCCTTCCAGTAAGCCACCGGCTGGCAACGGCAGCAACTTTAAGTATCCGTTGCCGGAAACCTGTCAGGAAAATGTCATAATAACATTTTGCGGAAGAATTGTGACCCACGGTAGCGGAAAACAGTCTGATCAACTTTAGTGGCCTTGATTTTACATACACACAAAGAATGCCCGCACATACACGTCAAGCTGAGTTTTACGGCTTTCTGCCGTTCCTTGCGCTCTGAGTATCACCATCGTTCGGGATCTCCAACGTCAAAGTGCACTGTTATGAACGCTACAGTTGCTTTCCAAATGCCATGCGCTGTGACCATGTTCACTATCTTGCGTGTGGACCGGCATTTTTTTCCTAAGGCAGACATATGTACTCTCGACATAGCTCTTTTTAAACTCCAAACTACTTATTTGTGCAGGGACAGAGGGTACTGGCTCTGGATCATTGATATAATTTGTCCTGGCTGAGTTATCAAAAAACTTTCAACAGTGTCCTTGCAATTTTGCAGCGTTCACTGTGCAATCCCGGCGTCGAAAAATACTGTATTTGCGAAAGGGACTTTTGCTCTGTTGAGTTCGGACTTTGTAGACGTGGAATATCGAACAGAATGTTCCTACTCACGTATGCTAATTTTGAGCGCACACTCGAAAGAATGTATGCCCACATAATAGATATTTTTTTAATGAACATATTAAGGCATTTTATAGGCATGCGTGAAATTTCTGTACTGTTTTTTTTCACCATGTAGATCAGGAATAAAAAAACTAGAGGCTCGCTTATAACTTCGACGTGGGGTTAACAATGACTCACATATTTGACTTCGCCAGCTTCGGGGACAAAAAGTTTAAGCTCAGAATTCCTGACCCGAATTTCCAGTTTGAGGAGTATAAGCCACGGACACAAGCACTCCATTTAACGTTGAGTCAGCGAATGTCTACGTAGTCCGTCGAATTTCTTCTGACAGTAATTTATACTATCTTTTGAGATGAAGGCTAGTAACCCGCTGTTTAGAGAGATTACTTAATCGTAATTCAACGAATCGTCTTAGGCATTCTGCCCTGTACTTTCCTGTTCACTGCCCCTCCCATTTCTGGAAAAAAGTATCAAGCATACGATTTGTGATTTCCACGAATAGAGGTGCTAACAATGCTACATTGTCGGTGGGTGCGTAAAAGGCAGGTTTTATTTTCTGTGAGGAATGCTTAAGTTCCCAAACTGTAGGTTTCTTACAAAATGACCCCCATCTAATATCTCGAAAAATTGACATGAAACCCACTCTCCAACCATTTTTTGGGGATATGTTTTGTATGTTATGTTTTTGACTCATTCCTCTTAATAAAGCTTAATTCTTTCGTGCCTTTATTTATGTTAGTCGATTGATTAAAGCTTATTACCATCCGTTTTTAAGGTGCTATGTCAGTTACGTCTGCCGATGAATGTTTCTCGAATGTGGATTCTGTCGAGGAACTTCGTCGCATCTGCTCTGAACGAGACGCCCGCATTGCCAAACTCAAAGTAATGATCATACGTGAGCGCAAGGCTACAGCAACAATCAAGGAAGAGTTGACACATTTAACTCAGGAAAATGCCGAACTCAAGGCCTCCAACCATGTCCTTGAAGATCAAGTTATCCGATTGAGTTCAAACACTGAATCTATTCAAGAAATAAATGCCCTAAGAAATGAAATTACCTCGTTACAGGAAGCGGTGGAAACGCTAAAGAACGAAAATCAAAGAATGACTGTTGATGCTGATCAACTGCGTTCGTTGCTTTCAGCTTCTGAAGTGTCAGCTACTGAAATGAATCGCCAACTAACTGAACTGCAATCGACAACATCAAGTTTAAAGGCTGACTTGGTCACCCACCAGGCTTACAAGTCTTCTTTGCATAAACTTGCAAGTGATGTCTTAGCTAGCTCCTCATTCTTAGAGGGCCAGCTAACACTGGACAATCAGCAGGATTTAGTTGCAAGTGTTATAACCTCTTTAGCAGAGTGCTGTAAATCCCGCGGAAGGTTAGTCCCAGTTGCGATTCAGACTTCTGACCAGGCAACGCAGCTTCAAGAAAACTCGTGTAATGCTGAAAACAATCTTGTTCTAGTAGACAAAGACTCCTTACGTCGAACTTGTGAGGCAATCCTTGAACTGGAACACCACTTTCCTTGCATAGAGGAACAAAATGGACACAGATTAACTGAAAATTTGATAGACAGCAGTCCTAAATCTATCGATGATGTGACTACTCGGCTTCAAAAATGTATTTTACTGGTCAAAGATGCAAAAGGTCGTCCTGGTTCGGATTCACCAAAATGCAAAACTTGTCAAATGCACATTTCTACTCTGAAGAATTGTCACCTACAGCTTTCTGAATTGCGAACTGACCTTAGTGGCCTGAAGTCACAAACGAATTCACTAGCAGCTGACGCGACCCGGGAGCTGGATCAACTTGCGTCTCTGTGTCAGCCTATCGGAGTGTTTTTAAGTCAACAGTTGGCGCCAAGCATTTCTAACGAATCCACATCAAGATGTTGCGCTGTCTCTTCAACCGTAAGTAATGCTGACATCTTGAAAAACAATGTGGCAGAACTCAGGCTTCAGTTAGATCAGATGAGGGCTGATATCGTTGGGGTGCTTGCCGACTGTTCAACAGATTTCACGGAATCCCTCACTTCGATGAACTCCAGGGTTTCATCCATGTATAAGGCCGCCAAAATGTCTCAAGACGTCGAAGTCCGACGTGATATTGTAGCTTCTATCCAGTCAGCTATCGGCAGTAAATTAAGCAACCTAGGCTGCGGTATGCACTCCTTGTCTGACTTATTGCTGGAATATAAACAGACTTATAACACTGAAGCATCCAACCTAAACGCTCTACTCCAAGAATTGCATCTCCGAAAACCTGCTAAATTACACCACGCTACCGCGCAGACTGACCATGTCGAAAACCAACCAATCTGTGTCAAGGAAGGCAGTCTGGATTATCTGTGTCGCCTGAAGTTGCAGGAGGTTCTTTGCAGTGAACCTATTGTCAACAGTATAGCTCCGGGTCTGGAGAACGAGACAAGGAGGCGAATTCATCATCTAATAGGACAAATTAGTAAGATTCAAGTACTTTACAACAAACTTCTGCTCGAAGTGCGAGCTAGCGATTCGAGTCGCCGAGTATCATGCTCCGAACCGCCGTCTCCGCGTCTACAAAATGCTAATCTGTTGGAGACCGTAAAGGCGACGCTAGCCTGCATGAAGGGGGACTTGCAGCAGATGAAGTACTTTGTCCTGAAGGAGGCTCTCAACGTGTCTGAAGGGCTATCAGCAGTACAGGAGCTGCAGAACAATTCATTGACTCCTGCGGTCAACAACTTGTGTGCGCAGGCTGTAGCATTATCTGAGCCCTCAGTTCAGACGCCGGATTCTTCCTCACAACGCGACCTCACATGCCTGAGCTCCGAACTTGTCCATCTGCGTCAAGACCTGGAAGGTGTCAAATCTGAGTTCGTTGATTATACGGAGACCTTCCAGACTTGCATGAGCACCGTTACCGCAAAGATATCCCCTCTTTTGTTGAATAAATCCGTACCAGATGGCGCATGTCCTACCGCGATGTCTTCTAACGGCCCTTCTCCAAAAATGTTGGAAATGTCCGTGGAAACCATACCTGCGCAGGAAGAAGTCTCCGTACAGACGGAAGATATCACGGTTTCTGTTGAGGAATTAAAGCAACGTGCGGGCAAGTTGCAACGCCAAGTTCAAGACTCTTTCACTGTCTCACCGTCAGAAATTTGCACTTGCGATGTTGCTTGTCACACTGAGAGCTGCATTACTGCCTCCTCAAGCGACCCTCTTAATCTAAAAGAAGTTTCGATCAACACAGATCATCCTCTTGTTCAGTCATCCGGCTTTCAGACAGAGAGTTCTGATATACGGGATACTCGGTCAGACGTGTCCACGGAAACGGAAGAAAGTGGGCAATCTGTTGCCGACCCTATCAGCGTAACAGAAATTTCCAT